TTCTATCTTCTGTCATTTCACTTGATTATTGACAGTTTGTGTGTGTGTGTGTAATTAAAGGGAAATGAATGAAGCAATGGGAAAGAACAGACGAAGGTCAACGAAGGTCAGATGAGAGGCATTGGAAAATGCACTTGCAACTGTCTTACATTTATGTTGCGACTGTGCCAGTGTCTGTATGTATTCTTTCTATATATAGTAATAAGAGAAATTGGCACAAATGACCCTAAAGAAACCTATATTATGTCACATAACCCTACTTTAGTCAACCTACTTTTTTTGACGGTTTTACCCTTATGCGACCACACACTTTCGAAATGAATTGGCGCGTGATATGCAAGTAGGTGTCAGATTACACCCTTTCACCCATTGGACAATTCAGAGGTTCATGTCTCTTCAGTTTCCTGTCGCTTTCGGTTTTATTTAAAACCAGAGATGAACCGATTCAGTTGTCACTCTCACCCTTTCTCTCTCTCTCCGTCTTTTATCTCTTCCTTTCCAGAAATCCCCAATTCATTGAGCAAACCCTAATCTTATCGATGGAAGACATCTTGCTACCGCCCAGAATGTTCGCTGCCGGTGATGAACCGTTGGGCGACCGGGTCAATTGCTATCATAAAATCAAGACCACTAGAGCGATTATCGCCGCACTCGAACCAGAAGAGAGAGAGTTCATTCTGAACTCAACATTTGGTAGGATTCTTGCGATTGATGAGAACCCGTCGTTTTCTGGGGCCTTTGGGCAACACCTCGTCGTGAGGCTCCTCAAGGTTAACAAAAAGTACGAGTTTTGGTTTATCTTTGCTGGAAACCCTATTAGAATGTCACTTCGAGAGTTTGCCATTGTCACCGGTTTGAACTGCGCGAAGATCCCCCTCAAGAAGAAGAAGAAGAATCCGCTTAAAGAGAAGCTCTACTGGAACGAACTCTTTGGATCGTTGAAGTACTGCACCGTCACGACAGCCATTGATATGTTACAGAACAAGGTTGTAAAATCAAGAGATTTGAGGATAAAGATTACGTTTCTTGCTATCACATCGTCGATTCTCTTTGCCTCTTCACACACCCCCCGTATCATCCCGGAGCATGTAGAGTTGATTCGAGATCTAGATGAGTTTCTCGCATTTCCCTGGGGCAGAGCCTCTTACGAAACACTCGCTGCATCACTAAATGGGAAAGATGAAATCGCACTATCACAGACGTCCGTCGCGATTCGTGGTTACGTTGAGGCAATTCAACTGATTATGCTCTCTGCCATCCCTCAGCTTAAGGAAGAAGTCACTCAATCTGAACGTGTTGTTATAGTTGATTCAGAAAGCGACGGCGAGACCCAGACAGGCCAAGAGACATTGACAGAGGATGAGAACGTGGCAGGACAGGGTAAACCACCACAGGAGACAAAGTATTGTCTCATACCCGGGCACGCTAAGACCATAGATTCCGAGTGCAAGGTATATGTTAAATGCTAACGGTTTCCCTTAACCGTTATTTATATGATGTTATAGATATGTTAGTTGTTAACAACTTAGAATCTAGCAGCTACACTTGTTAACATTAACCTAACTGTTTATCTGTTAAACCAACTTTTAGCCGCTAATTTATGTTGTTGTACTATAACCGTTGACCTGTTCGTGTATATGTTAATGCTAACATTTCCTCTAACCGTTACCTATATTATGTAATAGCTATGTTAGATGTTAACATCAATGATACTAATTCTTAGTCAATTATTTATTTATCTTTATTACCAACACTTAACCGCTAATCATTTTCTTGTACTATAACCATTTACATGTTCGTCTGTATTGCAGGTGGCAGTGAAGTCTATTATCGATGAGCCTTACGAAGATTGGTCTGCTGGCTTAGATTTTAAATGGATTGATGAGACCGACGATCTGGCTGTCGACAACATGGTCCGATTGATCCTTGAGGGTTTTGTATTTAGGAAGGAAATGTTTAAAGGTGGTCTTAACGCTCTTGACCTTTCACGTTTGAGGGGAGAAAAGAAACTGAAGGAGAAAGAACCGAAAGATAAAAATGAAAAGGAGCACGTTGTGGAGGGTTCAGAATGCGATGGATCATCTGAGTTTCACGATATGATTTTCTCATTGGAGAAGAGAATATACAAAGCTCTGGATTCAAAGTTAGAGAAACTTGTTCCTCCTACTGCTCAATCTCAGCACCTCCTCGAGTCTACCATTTCACGATGCCTACAGGACTTGGACAAGAAGATCGGTGATTCTATAGGTCGTCAACTTAAGGATATGCAGGCCGCGATAATAAAGGGTGTAATTGATGCCATTGGGGCGACCAATGCTATCCCTGCCACCGTCACAGAACCAACAGAGCCACCCCTTTATGATTTCACAACCCCATCAGAAGCTGCTGATTGCCGCATCAACGACGTGCTCCGCGATTTGAACGTAGCTTCTGATGCTTCTGATGCTTCTCTCCCTGCAACAACAGCAGGAGCACCTGCCCCACTTGATCATGAAGGACCCATCGCTGATGACTCCGCACCGATGGATTTGGTAAGTACATAACTTGGTGTATAAAACTTAGTTTATCTGCTAACACTTGTTAAATTTTCTCATCAGTCGGAGCATCAAGTGAAAGAGCAGGAACGGATCTTAGGAGCAGTACCCGTCTCACTTCATCAAGGACCAAACGATGATGACTCTTCACCTATGGAAGAGGTAAATACATTACTTGGAGTATAAAATGTTAGTTTTGCTGCTAAGATTAATATAGCTATATCATCAGACGGATCAGCAACTGGACGAGGAGGAAGTTGTCGCTAACCTGAACACAGAGCAGGTAAGGATGGGAGGACCACACGGTGATGACCCACACCCCCAGGCGAAGCAAATCCACGAACATGTAGACGACTCTACACCTATGGACGAGGTAAGAATAGTCATTTACCGCTAACTTATTCTGTGAACTCCACACTAACAAAATTGAGCATACGTGCAGGAACATCTTTCCCCACCCAATGCCATCGCAATATTGAAGGAGCATAATGAGGGAAATGTAATAGAAACTTGCTTGACCGCTCAGGTAACCAATTTACTTAACCGCTACCATAGCACTTAGTCGATAACTGACATTACATGTGTTACTCTATAATGTCTTTCCCACTCTGTCTGATTTATTCAGCAAAACAAACAAGCCGCTGATTTTGATCCTACTGTAAACCAGGAGGCCGTGTCCGAAGAAGTTGATATTGACGAGGTAATCCCTTTGTCAGGTCATGTAACCAATTTACTTAACCGCTACCATTTGACATATTTGCTAAATATAATTACATATGTGTTACTCTGTAATGTCTCTCCCACTCTGTCTGTTTTGTTCAGCAAAACCAACAAGCCGCTGATGTTGATCCAACTGCAAACCAGGAGGCCGTGTCAGAAGAAGTTGATATGGACGAGGTAATCCTTTTTTTTTCCTAGGTATTTTATTAGAAACAACGGCTACTTTGTTCTTGCGCATTGCTAATGCATTTTCACAAAAAATCAGATGCAAATACCTTTTTATCTGTTCGATATGCCGTCTTTCTCACTCGGACTATCGCAGGAGGATGCACCCGTTTCCAAGGGACACGAAGAAGAGGCTCTGGAGCAGCGTAAGAGCAAAAGGGCAAAGGTCGCTCCGGTTGTTCTGCAAGACTACAAATGTGACGGAGTAACAGCTGGTCTATCCATAATACCTGATCTTGCCAAACGTTTTGAGCTTATGGAGCAGAGACTGCTAAATGAATCGTAAGTAAATAACAAGATCCCATCATCTTAATCGATAAGTATTTCCGTAACCTTCAAATCACCTCATTAACCGTTAACTAAATATGTTACAGGATAGTGATTCTAAACTCTGGGTACTCGGTGACTCCAGCCGAGTTTTGTGATATTGGTCATCGCAAGAACATATTATCCTGTGGTGTCATGGACGCCCTTATCGGAGTTGTGTCTCGTGGTCTTGCCTCTAGTCCCAAAGTTGGTATATATGACACAACCCTTCCAGTTGCTTTAATGAGCCACCACTCTCGCTTTGTCAAGACAGCAGTAAAAGACCGTGTGAAGCTTAAGTTCAACAATGTCCCACTGGAAAGCCCCATTCCGAAGGCGCCTGAGAGGATATATTTCCCATTTAACATTGACAGGAAACACTGGGTTGGAGTCTGCCTCGATGTGAAAGCGAACACTCTCCATCTTTTGGACTGCAACACTTCCCTTCGAAGTGACAGTTTGCTGAAGAAGGAGCTTACTCCAATTGCTAACCTCATCCCATATGTTCTCAAGCAAGTCGGATATACGGAAGGTAACGCTGGCCTGAAGTCCTTTACAGTCTCCAGATGCAGGGGAATACCGCAAATCTCCACTCATACTGATGCAGCAGTCATGACAGTTCTGTTTATCGAAGCTCACGCCATCGATGGTCTTGGTGGTTGCAAGGCTATCACTCCTCGTCTGCTCCCAGATGCAGCCAAGCAGTTGGCTGTCAAACTCTTCGATGATCTCTCTGTTTGAATTTTATTTTATCTTCTCTATTTCGTACTTATCGCTACACTCAATGCTGTTGTCTGTTTCGTTTTTAGCTTTTCTTCCCCCGGATTTCTCATTTCGAACTTTGGTTAATGACATTTCCCTTATAACTCTAATTTGTAGTTGTTAACTTACATGCTTAGCGTGCGTCATGGTTTGTTAACTAAGATGATATTCATTTAGATTGTGCGTTAACACCCAGCTTAACAGTTAACATAATTTTTCTCTTAGCAGTTAACAAAGTTGAAAACAAAACATAATTGTATTCAGCACTTACCATCCACACTAAGTTGAAAACAAAACATAATCCTTTTGTTTATGTCTAAACTGAGCAGTTAACATACAATTTCGTTTGTAACTTCCGCCGTTTAACGGTTAAGCCATCTTTTTGAGCGGTAACACCCATCTTAACAGTTAACATAGGAACTTAGTGTGATAATATTTCTATTATCAGCTAACCAAGATTAAAATAAAACATAATTGTATTCATCACTTACCATCCATACTAAGTTGAAAACAAAACATAATCCTTTTGTTTACGTTTTAACTTAGCAGTTAACAAATAACTTTGTTTGTAACTTTGGCTGTTAAACGGATAACTTATGTGAATCTTAGACAATTTCTGGAAAATAAAACTTAACTTAAGCTTTGAGCCTTGGTTCCTCTTGTAACTTGGGCTCACAGAAAAAATGGTCTTACCTGATCTATATCATGGTGATTCTAATCTTAATACATAATCCTTTTGTTTCTGTTTAGATTGTGCGTTAACACCCAGCTTAACAGTTAACATAATTTTTCTCTTAGCAGTTAACAAAGTTGAAAACAAAACATAATTGTATTCATCACTTACCATCCACACTAAGTTGAAAACAAAACATAATCCTTTTGTTTATGTCTAAACTGAGCAGTTAACATACAATTTCGTTTGTAACTTCCGCCGTTTAACGGTTAAGCCATCTTTTTGAGCGGTAACACCCATCTTAACAGTTAACATAGGAACTTAGTGTGATAATATTTCTCTTATCAGCTAACCAAGATGAAAATAAAACATAATTGTATTCATCACTTACCATCCATACTAAGTTGAAAACAAAACATAATCCTTTTGTTTACGTTTTAACATAGCAGTTAACAAATAACTTTGTTTGTAACTTTGGCTGTTTAACGGATAACTTATGTGAATCTTAGACAATTTCTGGAAAATAAAACTTAACTTAAGCTTTGAGCCTTGGTTCCTCTTGTAACTTGGGCTCACAGAAAAAATGGTCTTACCTGATCTATATCACGGTGATTCTAATCTTAATACATAATCCTTTTGTTTCTGTTTTAACTTAGCAGTTAACATACAACTTCGTTTGTAACTTTGGCCGTTTAACGGTTAAGTCACCATTACCTTTGAGCCTTGGTTCACCCATCTTAACAGTTAACATAGAAACTTAGAAACATATTTGAAACATAGTAGAAACTTAGAAACTTAGAAACATAGTTGAAAGAGTTCATAAGATAACATTACAACAAGTGGAAATTTGAAAATGGGTGAGTAGATCCACACCCTCCATTGCACATAGTATGTGTCAATGTGGGCAGCTTTGGGGAACATAGTTTAGTACATCATAACAATAGTTCATACCATAAAATAGAAGGCCGCCCCATATCTGGCCATTACAAAAGAAACACTACAACTTCACTCACCCCTACATAGTCTTCTTCTTCATCTTCAGATAGGCATCTTACAAGTGACTTTGTTATGGTCAGTTCCTCCACATCTGCTGCAAGTCCTGCGGCGCTTCAAACCACCATTTCCCTGCATTCAACAAATTTTTTACATGTCACCAGTGTTTGTATCCGTTAACCGGCATAATAAACGCTAAAACATCATTTGACTCAAAAAAGGACACAAACCTTGAACTCCCCACGTGATGGAATCCTTGCCTTTCTTGGCCTCCCTGGTGGGCGGCGAGTTGCTGGAGGACGAAGGTGGCCATTCTCTCCTTCAACACCAAACTTATAGGCAGCAATTTTGGCATGATCCACCGGGTTGATGCTTCCACCGTATGCTGCAGCCCAGTATGCGGTTGTGTAAAACACAGAAACCTTACTCTCAACAGACTCTTTTGCGTAAATAGCTGCTGACACAGCATGCGCACAAGGGATGGCCAGCGCCTCGAACTCCTTGCAAGAGCAAGTCTTCTTATCAAGATCCACTCGGTAGTACAACCCATTGTCATCAACTACTTCGTACTCATTCTCGATGATGTGATTGTTGACATATCCGGTGGACTCGGTGAATTTCTTAGTCAAGACATCGTTAACCTTCGGAGTTAGCGCCCCCATGTTATTTGCAGCTGCTTCACGTCTTGCAGAGAACCAACCCATCATCATTGATCTGATATACTCCAGCAGCGGGACAATTGGGTATTCACGAGCCTCAGATAGTGCCGCATTAAGTGATTCAGCCAGGTTACTTGTCATAATGTTGTACCTTGCTCCATCAAAATGAGACCTAGCCCAATGTTCCAGTCCTATTCGGATCAGATAATCCGCACAAGCAATGTCCACCACCTTGAGCTCGTTGAAGTGGATGTAGAAATCCTCCAACTTGTAAGCCCGTGCTGCTTTTCCCAGGATGTAGAGCAAATGTTTCTTCTTGAAGATGGACTGGACGTTCCTCTGGAGATGTAGCAGACAAGCACAATGCTTGGCCATTGGATAAACCTAACAAATGAACACAAATAAGTCCACTAAGTAACATCATTATTAGCAGATAAGTAACTTTTTATAGTATAACATTTGTGAGCTATGTTTAATAACATCACACTTAACTGCTATCTTAATAAATTAACACAAATAAGTCCACAAGGTAACATCAATATTAGCAGATAATTTAGTTTTTATCCTCTCAATTTCTAACTATGTTTAATCTTAGACGGATAACCATTACACTGAACTGCTATCCTACGTCTTAACGGGTTAAGTTTTTATATATCCGTTACAAAGCATCTAAGCTAACAATTATCGAATCTCAAATTTTGATAAGTGGTAAAGGTACTAGATGCTTACCCTGCGTATTCCAGAGTAGATAGCAGTGTGTCTGTCTGAGACAAATACAATGTCCTCACAATCCGGCACCACGGCAAGGAGCTTGGTGAAGAACCACGTCCACGAAAGGTCATTCTCGCTATCGACAACCCCAAATGCAATTGGGAATATTTGATAGTTCCCATCTTGTGCACTTGCTGTTAGCAAACACCCAGCAAACTTCCCCTTCAAGTGAGTCCCATCAATGATAATCACCTTTCTCATGAAAGCGAATCCTGCGATGCTTGCCCCAAAAGACAGAAAGAGGTATTTGAAACGCTGCCTACCATCATGCCCCTTGTTTGTCTCCAAAGCTACCAGAGTCCCAGGATTCGCGACTGCCAACTGCTGGAGGTAGGAAGGTAAAGTGCTATACGCTTCCTCAGCATTTCCACGTCCATTCTCTATAGCAATCTCCCTCGACTTCCAAGCAGTCCAGTAAGATATCGGAACACTGTGGTCCGTCCTCATCATCTCTCTCACAGCTCTGGGTCTTGGTCCACTGCCTGTGCCAACGTACTTTCTTCTCATAATACCTCCCACAATTGAGGAGGTTGCATGTTTCCTAAACTCTCCCCTCTCCTCGACAGTGCAACGGTGGGTGCCTTCCAGCGTCTTGATTTCAAACCGCTGGCAACCTGGGATCTTAGTTGCGTACACACGCCAGTCACAGTTAACTCCTATGCACTTTAGGACAACCCTCCCAATCGCAGACTTTTTCACAAAGTATCTGAACTTGTTAGCCAACGCATAGAGCGACATGTGGACTTTGAAAGCCTCACGGTCTTGAAAGACTTGCCCAACAAAGAGACGATCATTCTTGCCCATTCCATTGCCATCTGGAAACAATTATTAAACATATGCATTTAACAGTCAACAAAACTATTAACTGATATGTATATATAGCTAACCAATACCGAAGAGGAAAACTATTGCTACTATAAAATTAGCAATCAACAGATACATATAACAGTCAACAAAACTATTAACTGATATGTATATATAGCTAACCAATACCGAAGAGGTAAACTATTGCTATTATAAAATTAGCAATCAACAGATACATATAATTTACAACAATCATATCAATTAACGGTTAAAAATAAATTTATTTAAGCTAACCTAGAAGTATCACTTACACAGCAGTAATCGCTAACTTATAATTTTACTAATATCTGATCCCTTTAACGGGTAATCTTGGCGCTAGCAATCAAGCATTAACTTACCATGTTCATCAAAATCCTGCGAGCTGAAGAACTCACCACTCCCATTTCCTGCATCAATCATCATCGATTCCCCTTTATCAGCTGATTCCAATGATGTAGAGCAAACAATAATTTTACAACTATCATATCAATTAACAGTTCACAAAAAAAATTATGTAATAAAGCGACAGCTAACCTACAAGTATCACATAAACAGCTATAAACGCTAACTTATAATTTTACCAATATCTTATCCTTGTAGCGGGTAAACTTGGCGTTATCAATCAAGCATTAACTTACCATGTTCAGAAAAACCCTGCGAGTTGAAGAACTGACCACTCCCATTATCTGCATCAATCATTATCGATTTCCCCTTATCAGCTAATCCCCCTAGTCCTTCTTCACCGCCAGCCGTTACTGTCATAAAACAAAATAGCAGACAACAACCAAGTTAACTATCTTTCATTAACACCATCGAACTAACCAAAGTTAAACAATTGACTTTTTCCTCATTACCTATGGCTAAGCTTAGGTTTCTGTCTGCTGGTTGTTGAGTAGGCATTTCTCCTACGCTGTTAACACCATCATGCACTTCCACAAGTCTTATCTCACCATCAGCATTTGGTGTGAAGACATCCACATCTTCAGATGATTCAGTTTCCGAAGGGGTGTCAGGGAGGTCCGTTAGTGGCTGGTGTATCTGACTCGGTGTCAGACGCACAGCGTTCCTTCGGATCTCCTCCATCTGCTCATTGGTGCAGATGGACATCAACTTTTCTTCACTTACTTGTAGATACCCACCCACACGAAATCCTGTAAAAGAAATGACAGATGTTAGCATGTAAAT